TCAAATGGTCACTGAACAAATGGCTGTAAGTCAAGGACTACCTGTATCTCACTGAGAAAGGCAAGAGGAAGTGAAGCAGCTCTCTGAGAGCTGTGACTTCAAGGTCCTCATAATAGGAAACACAAAGTCAAATGAAGCCTGCTCCCAGGAACCATTTCAAACACTACAAAGCAGTGGCTTTCTTGGGTTCACTATCCCATCACCTCATCAGGTATCTGCAACTTAGAGTATTTTCTAATTGCTTGCGGTTGTAGGCTGCTTCAACTCTAAGCAGCAAATATCTTCATAACAAAGATTAAACTAATCTAACAAATAACATTGTCAATATTGTGATGCTCCAGGAAAACACTTTTCCAAATAAAACAAACACCACCTGAGGGCAGCTATCTGAACTTCACTCTCCAAAAGTTTCCTGAATTGTTAGGTCTTGATGGCCTTCCTGAATTCCATAAGGATTGGGGTTACTCTACAGGTAGTCCTCGTTTAGGAACCACAATTGGAACTGGCGACTTGGTTGTTAAGTGAAGTGGTCACTAAGTGAAACCATGACTGTGCTTATGATCTTACTACAGTTTTCCTTTGCTTTACAGACTGCGAAGCTCATAAATACAAGGATTGGTCGCAAAGTTACTTTTTAATTACCATCGTAACTGACAGTCGCTAAATGAGGATCACCTGTAATTGCAGGGTAATGCTGCTTTATTGGGGAGGGGGGGACAGTGAGGATTCCAAGCTTTGTTTATCTATTGCTGCCTGTGACTTTACCAATCCATCAAAGATGCACAATGTCAGTTCTTACAATCAGTGGCTGAAACAATAAAATTGGACTAACACAGCATCCAGGCCCAGGAATAGGCATGGAGAGCAATTCAGCATTCAGGTCAGATCCTTTTTTCTACCTGTTTCTTAAACTGGCTCTTTTAAATGCCCTTAAAACACATTTGTCCAATTATATAATACGATCTTTATTTATTCGTCATATTTATATGGCCGCCCATCTCACAATCAAGTGACTCTGACTCTGACTCTTGATAGCAATTTATTGTAGCAGTGTCAGAAAACTTGCTGTCCCAGTGCAGTATGCTAAAGTCACATATGGTGAGTCACCAGATGCTGCAGCCCTGATCAGAAATTGACTCTAGCGTTTCACTTACTGTATTTTAGAAACTGGAGCACCATCTACTGTATTTGAGAGCCAAGTGCACTACAAGTATGAGCTGCAAGAAGGAAAGGAATAGTTCATTTTATCTTCGAAATCAGTTTGGGGACATTAGAAAAAAGGAAACGGCAAGAAAATATGAAAATCCAAAAAGGAGAGCAATCTCTTACAACACAAGCAAGATATGTCCACATGAGGATCAAATGAAAAGAGATTCCATGTAAGCCAACTTAAGCTCATGGAGGAAGGACAGGATGTAATTAACAAAAATATATGTAATAAATTTTGTTCTTCTGAATTTCCTCAGAGAGCAGCAACTGGCTGTGGGGAAGAAAATAAAGGAATGGTACCCCCCCAAAGTTGTGAGGTGAATTCTTCTAGGACTCAGGAAGCAATCTAATGCCCCCAGACTTCTAGATGCAGTGAGTAAATAGATACAATTACAATTATGATTTGGTTTTATTTTGTATGGAGTGAAGCTTCACCCAATTTCCTTCAAAACCAGTTTTTTTTTTTTTCTCCAGAGGCTCATCACTATTTTAGATGGGCCTATCCATTGTTCCTTGATTCACCTCGCTCCCTTAAAACCTAATCATTTTCTCTAAGCTAAATCCCATCCAGTTTTCAATTGTTGTTCTACATTCTTCATAAACTCTAAATATTATTTTAAGCAGATATTTTTGTGCCAATTTGTTTCTTAAGTAGTCTAGTTATATTCTGGTCAAATGACCCAGAAGGCCTAGATTTCGCTAGATTGTCTCCCAGATACAGGGTTTAAGGTGCCTTTGTTTTTCTCAATTAGAGATTTTCTTTTTCTTTTGGTCTTGGCCTTTCTCCCCTAAGGGAGGGGAAGAAAAAAAGGTACTGGCAGCAAATATCAACTCAGAGCAATAAATGCTGCATCATTGCAGGTAGTCCTAGTTGGATGAAGCAGACCTAAAGAGAGTTTTACATTAAAAAAAAAAAAGAGAGGATTCTTAAAATATTAAATAGTTCTCAAAACAACAGGCAGTTCCATGATGATGCTAAAATGTGTGTGGTGATCTTACATGCAAGGGGTAGAGTTTGCACTGTGACATTGCAGTACAAATTATCTCCTTATAGGCACACATAGGTAGTTCTCTAGTGAACTGGATGAGAAATTGGCACTCAAATTGAAGAGTAAGAGGAGGTATGTGAGAAAAATTCCAAGCTTGGAGAGGTGGATCTTGTTGGAAATTATAAAGAGGATAGGAATTGTAGTACTTGTGGCCATCACACGGAACAAGTTATTGTGCATGGTGGATTTCAAGCTTAGGCTGGAC